GTTACATAATACACTCTGGAGGTGATTCCAGTGTCCTGAGTTGTCTTCTGAGTCTCTTTCTGTGCTTCCCAGAACTTTATTTAATCTATTTAGTTAAAGGTAAGAAGATACATTATCTACCACGTGGTATATTTAAAAACTTGTTCATTGCTGGGTGTGGTGGCACATACCTTTAATTCCAGCACTCAGGAGGCAGAGGCAGACAGATCTCTGAGTTTGAGGCCAGCCTGGTCTACAAAGATACACAGAAAAATCCTGTCTCAAAAAATCAAAAAACAGGCTGGAGAGATGGCTCAGTGGTAAGAGCACCGGCTATACTTCCAGAGGTCCTTAGTTCAATTCCCAGCAACCACATGATGGCTCAAAACCACCTTGAATGAGATCTGGTGCCCTCTGCTGGCATGCAGGCAGAAGACTGTATAGACTGTCTACATAATAAATAAATAAAATCTTTAAAAAAATAAACAAACAAAGAAAAAAGCCAAAAACCAAACAAAACAAAATTGTTCACATCCCAAAACACCATTTGGTATATATCTTCTGACCTGTTATCTATAGAAACAATTCTATATGGTAATTTTAGTCTTACAATCATCATTGTTTACTGTGTAACAGCTCTTTCCATGTTTTGAGTCCTCATATTTCCATTTCTAGTGGTTGTCCATGGTCTATTCCAGTGTGTTAGTGTGACCTTCCGTCCCACGGGAAAACATTTGGGCTACTACCAGCTCATGCGTTATACAATGTATTTTTCATTTGACTTATTTATTTGTAATACAGTGCTCATCATAGAAATTTGAGATCATAATACAGTACCAGCAATGTAACCAAACCAAAGTGCTTATAAAGTCAAAGGCTTGTTAGGTTTTCCCTCTTCATCGATGTAAGGCAGCATTTAACAATTGTTTTAAGGTACATTTCTGTAAACCAGTATTCAGGAATGTTTTTCTCAGTGTTTCTTTGTGTGACTCCCACGTGACTGTTCATAGGCTCTCATGGGCATGGATGGCTGGATACTAGAGACTAGTGTTGTTTTGATAGATTTTTATCAGCTCCTTAAAAGTTGTAGAGATGAAACTTGTATTTACAATATTAATTTCCCTAACTCTGTTGCTTTCCTTTGAATTTCTTTTTCCCACCTTTGTTAGTATTTCAAATTTAATTGAGTCAATTTACACACTTTATAATTCATACGTTTTGTTTCTGCTTTTCTTTGCAGTATGTATATATTTCATTTTCTACAACCTAAACTATGTTAAATTGATGTTTGTTTTTCCTTTTTTTTCCATATATTTCATTTTCTACAACCTAAACTATGTTAAATTGATGTTTGTTTTGTTTTGTTTTTCCTTTTTTTTCCTTTTTTTTTTTTTTTTTTGAGATAACACAAGATCTTGCATATAGGTGAGGCTGCCCTGGAACTCACTACTGACCTAGGCTAGCTTTGAACTCACAATTAATAAATCCTTCTGCCTCAGCCTTTTTAGTGTTAAGATCATAGGCTTGTGTTATCATGCTCAACTCACTCCCCCCTTCTTTTAAATTTACTATATTGTAGTATGAGATAGCTCTAAGTCATTTTTTTCTTATCAGTACATGTTCAGTTTTGTCAACAGCATCGTTTATTTTTATTTTTTATTTACACTAAGGATTGACCCCAGAGCCTTACGAATGTACATGTATTTCTGCTGAGCCACTCCTTGCCTTGGTCACACCACACTGCCTCCAAGGGTCTATAATTTAAAGGACATTTTTCTATTTATTAAATATTACATTGTAAAAGAATTGAGATATATAAAAGCACAAATATCTCATGATTAAATAAGATATTAAATTAGAGGCAGCTGAGTGGAAGGCAGATGGAAATGTTGATGTTTAGGAGGAGGGCTCATTTCCACACTGTTAACCTTCCATGGTATGTATCTCTGTGTTTTTAAAATGAAGTCCTGTATACTCCATGACTTTACAGATCAAAAGAATCATTCTATACAAATAAGTAAAACCAGAGCTTGAAATGGATTAGCTATCTCTCTGCCTGCCCAAGCCATCTTTTTAAATGTATGTCCATTAGACTCCTGAAATCAAGACTTTGCTGGTTTTTAGTGACGGGTGGAACATATGAAGGTATAAGCAGAGACAAAGAGAAGTGTGAGTATGTCTCTCCTTTGGTCAGTGGATTTTTAGGCAGATCTAATAGCTATCACTGTGTGTCCCAAGCAGGGTACCTTGTGCAGTCAAGTGTATGAAGCCATGGAGACACAGAGATAGGCAGGCACCTAAAATGGAGCTTTTAGATTCTTGCCCATGATTTCAAAACTCTGTCTAAAGACGTACTCTCAAGAGGCCTTTGAACTCTCCCTTGTCTTCACAGCCCGCCTGTGCCATTCTTCAGGATGGTGGGCACCCGTCTCTCCCGAGTCTTACCCTCTTCATCCAGACATCCATGACTCAGTCCACATCTTTCTAAATGAAAAGTTTAAAACATGGGAAAGAATTGTACAGTGAACATTCATGTACTCACTGTCTAGATCTCATAATTATTTAACCATGTTTACTTAAGCATGCATTTGAAAGTAAGTTACAGATACTAATACACTCCCCACACTTGAGCATGTATGTAAATCTTTGATTGTATTAGTTTATGGTTTTTTTTTTTTTTTTTTTTTTCTTGTTTTTCAAGACAGGGTTTCTTTATATCCTGGAACTCACTCTGTAGACCAGGCTGACCTGGAATTCACAGAGATCCACCTGCCTCTGCCTCCCAAGTGCTGGGATTAAAGCCATGTCCCACCAACGCCCAGTTTACGTGTTTTCTTAAACACATAAACATACACGCAGTGGATTTAGATTAAATTTATATTTGACTAAAGTGATCATTTGAAATTTGTTGGTGGTGAGTTTTGTTGTTTTCTTAGAACATTTTTATTACATTTCTATGTGTGTGCATATCCCATGTGGAGATCAGAGGCAAACGGTGGGAGTCAGTTCTCCCCTTCCATCTTGTGGGTGGATCCTGGGGACAGAACTCAGGTTCAGGGTTGGTAGCAAGGGCCTTCTTGATGGCCTCACTTTTGTTTTCTTATGACAGTGTCTTGCTTCAGGCTGGCCTGGAAGCTGCCATGTAGACCAGGTGGCCTCGAACTCAGGATCCTCCTCCTTGAGCTCCTGAGCACTAGAGTACAGGCCCGTAGCACCATACCTGGCCCAGTTGATACATTTTTGATAGATAGATAGATAGATAGATAGATAGACAGACAGACAGACAGACAGACAGACCCAAAGCCCTTCAAGTTTTAGGTATAGGACAGAAAACCTCAGGAAGTTTCCACAAGCTCCCTTCTCAAAGCTGCTCATCCCTGCCTTGTTGGTTATCCATCATTATTTAATTATAAGTTTTATTCATTTTAGGTTAATTAGCCCTTTTCTCAAGTTCATGCAAATGAGCTACAGTTTGTGTAATATTGCCTTCATTCAGTATAATCCTTTTTTTTTTTTTTTTTTTAAGTTGGGAGTGGGCAGAGAGATGGTTCAGATGTTCAGAGCACTTGAGGACCTGGGTTTGGTTCCCAGCACCCACTTGGTGGCTTACAACTGTCCATAACTCCAGTTACAGGGGAGTCTCATCCTCCCTTTGGCCTTTTCAGGCACAAGATATGAACATGGTACACATATATGCATGCAGGAAAAACCACTCATACCCATAAAGATATAAAATAACCCCTGCTGGACCTTCTGCTACAATGGCTGTGCCATTTCTTTTTCTGCCATCACCAAATAGAAAACTTCCTTGTTGGTCTTTTAAAAATGGATGAACATAGAGGCTCAGAATAGTGGTACGTGCCTAGTCACACCACCTGGGTCTGAGGCCGACTGAATCAAGGCTAGCCTAAGCATAGAGAGAAATATTTCTTCATTTGAGTACAAGGCCTTTGCCAGATATATATGTATTGTGATATATATTTTTCCAGACTCTGGCTTTGGTTTTGTTTTTGTTTTTTGTTTTGTTTTGTTTTGTTTTGTTGAGACAGGGTTTCTCTGTATAGCTTTGGAGCCTATCCTGGCACTCGCTCTGTAGACCAACTCACAGAGATCCTCCTGCCTCTGCCTCCCAAGTGCGAGGATTAAAGGTGTGTGTCACCACTGCCTGGCCAGACTCTGGCTTGTTATGCTCATTTTGATGGCATAGTTTTTAATTTTGATAAAGTCTAATTTATTAGTGTTTTTTTTTGCATGTTCTTGTTTTCTGTGTCCTAAGAAAACTTTGCCTACCACGCCCCCCCACTCCGGCCTGATAGACATGTGCCGTTTTCCCCAATAGATTGGCTTATATAGTTTATTCTAATAGCTTTATGTTTTAGATTTTATGTTTAGGTTTATAATATATAAGCTTTTCCTGTTTGGTGTGAGGTAGGGTCAGTCAGGGTTCATCTTTTTCAATATGAATATCCAGGAGTTTCAGTACTTGAAATTTAAAGAAAAAAGATTTATTATTATGCCACCCTCTTAATGCAGTAGGCAATATATCAGATTCCTGTGTGTGTGTGTGTGTGTGTGTGTGTGTGTGTGTGTGTGTGTGTGTGTGTGTTCTCACAGTGTGAATGTGGCCAGGTACATGGTGATGTGTGGAGATCAGAGGACAGCTTTTGGGAGTCAGCTCTCCTCCTCTGCCATGGGGATGAAACTCATGTTGTCGGCTTTTGTGGCAGGTGAGTTTTACCATGGAGTGTTCTCATTGGCTCTAGCACTTCCTGCATGTTTTCACTGGATTGTTTTGACATCACTATGGACACTTGTAATAGTTTAAAGGATTGACTTTTCTGCTGTGGGTTTCTTGACCAGCAAGTATGGAGACAGGAGTTATTACTTCTGATCCCATAGTCCCTTTAGGCTGTATTTGTTCTATTCTGGATGTTACCAAGTCCCGGCGCAGTAAGTCATAGACTCTTCTCTTATTGGCAATGAGTTGTAGCGACTGAGTTCTTTGTTGTGTTTGGACCTAGGATGACCAGCATTCCGGTAAAGGACCGAGTGAAGGTGTCTCAGAACTGGAGACTGGGGCGCTGCCGAGAGGGGATTCTGCTGAAGTGGAGGTGTAGGCAAGTAGCTTCTTGATTGTTTTTTTTTTAATGATTTGTTTGTTTTTATTTTATGTGTATAAGTATTTTGTTTGTCATGTCCCCACCCAACTGACTCATGCACATGCTTTTTGCTTTTTGTTTTATTTTGAGATGGGGTCTCACAATGTAGCTATGGCTGTCTTGATCTTACTGTGTAGACTGGGCTATCCTCAAACTCACATAGGTCTGTCTGCCTCTACCTCCCAAATTCTGGGATTAAAAGCAATGTACCACTACGCCCAGCTTATGTATAATTATTTTGTCTGCTTGTGTGTCAATGCACCATGTGTATGCCTGGTACTTGAGGAAGTCCCAAAAGGGCTTCAGATCCCCTGGAACTGGAACTACAGATGATTGCTAGCCACCATATGGGTGCTGGGAATCAAACCTGGATCCTTTGAAAGAGTTGCTATTAACTTCTAAGCCATCTGCTAGCCTTCTAGATTCTTTTAAGGCTTCCCAAGACAGAAGAGCATAATAGAAAATATGAACTACACAGAGAAACCCTGTCTCAAAAAACAAAAAATCAAAACAAAAAAAAAAAAAAAAAGAAGAAGAAGAAGAAAGAAATTAGACTGTAGTGGCTATCTCTGGTAGGGTGACTACTGGTGTGGTGACAGACACCACAAAGAATCCCAACAGAAAAATGACTTACTAATATAGTTCAAAGAAAGATTATAAGAAATATACTCTGGGACTAGACAGTGTGAGGTAGGAGGATCTCCATTTCAGAGCTTGTCTGGGCTCAAGAGTCAGCCTGAGTAACTTAGGTGGATCCTATCCCAATTTTCTTTTCTTTCTTTCTTTTTTTTTCTCCTGGTTTTTCAAGACAGAATTTCTTTGTGTAGCTCCATCTGTCCTGGAACTCTCTGTAGACTAGGCTGGCCTCGAACTCACAGAGATCCGCCTGCCTCTGCCTCCCGAGTACTGGAACTAAAGGCATGCGCCACCAACGCCCGGCCACTACCACTCAGTTGAAAATGTAATTTTTTTAAAAAGGCAAAATGGGATATTAGAGATATGTGAAGTAGGGCTTAGAGTGCAGTGTGTGTGTGTGTGTGGTGTGTGTTCACGTGTGTGTGTGTGTGTGTGTTCACGTCTTAGAGTGCCAGTGTGTGTGTGTGGGGTGTGTTCACGTGTGTGTGTGTGTGTGTGTTCACGTCTTAGAGTGCCAGTGTGTGTGTGTGGGGTGTGTTCACGTGTGTGTGTGTGTGTGTGTTCACGTCTTAGAGTGCCAGTGTGTGTGTGTGGGGTGTGTTCACGTGTGTGTGTGTGTGTGTGTTCACGTCTTAGAGTGCCAGTGTGTGTGTGTGGGGTGTGTTCACGTGTGTGTGTGTGTGTGTGTTCACGTCTTAGAGTGCCAGTGTGTGTGTGTGGGGTGTGTTCACGTGTGTGTGTGTGTGTGTGTTCACGTCTTAGAGTGCCAGTGTGTGTGTGTGGGGTGTGTTCACGTGTGTGTGTGTGTGTGTGTTCACGTCTTAGAGTGCCAGTGTGTGTGTGTGGGGTGTGTTCACGTGTGTGTGTGTGTGTGTGTTCACGTCTTAGAGTGCCAGTGTGTGTGTGTGTGGTGTGTGTTCACGTGTGTGTGTGTGTGTGTGTGCGTGTGTGGTGTGTGTTCACGTATGTGGGTATTCAAAGCAGTGCTTGGAGGCCAAACCTGCTCTATTACTCTCCATCATATTCCCTTGATATAGGGTCTCTGAATCTGGAGCTAGGCTTGTAGCCATCTATTGATGGTTGCAAAGTGCAGTCAGAGATGGGTTAATAACTGGTAGTTTATTAGGGGAAAAGACTCACACAAGGGAACCAATGACTCGGTTGCATCTGAAAAGGATCGACCCAGAAATGCTTCCCTCTCAGCTCAGCCAAGCGAGAGAGGGCCTCGTGCTCGCCTACCTGCTTCTTAAACCCCTGTTACATAACTGTGCCCACAGGTTCAGAGGGTTAGTCCATTATCATCATGGCAGGAGGCAGACAGGCATGGAGCTGGAGCAGTAGCTGAGAGGCTGATCCACAGGCAGCAGAGGAGAGAGAGGAGGAGAGAGAGAGAGACAGAGAGACAGAGAGAGACAGAGACAGAGAGCGAGCCTGAGCTAGGCTTTTGAAACCTCAAAGCCCATTCTCAATGACACACTTCTTCCAGCAAGGCCATACCTACTCCAAATGCCACACCTCCTAATCTTTGTATCCTTCTCAAACAGTTCCACTTGCTGTGAGTAAACACTCTAAAGTATGAACCTATGGGGGCCATTCTCATCAGACCTCCACAATGACCCTTTGTCTTGCTTGTGCTGTTCCTACTGGCTTGGCTGATGTCAGTTTCTGTGAATTATATGGTGGTATATTATAGAAGGCATGAAAGAGAAAGATGGATTTTTATGATGAAAGGTTTTACCTTCCGATTTCCATTTTCACCTGGTTGTGGTTTTCTATAAAAGCAGATCTTCTTTGTAGCCCAGGTTGACCTCAAACTTGCCATCCTTGTGCTGGGCCTCCTTAGTGCTAGGATTATGGTGCCATCATACCCCATCATTTGTGCCTTTTAACATCAAAGAGCAATTTCTCTATCAGGGTTTTACTTCTGGTGTTGTCTTTTAGGGCCTTAATTTAAGGCAGTCTGACAAATAAACACAGAACAGTTACCAGGTTGCCCCAGGATTCGTCACTGTTCACCTGGCATGAACCTGGTTTCTTGTCCTAGGTAAATGTCTGTTTAACACATGGTTGTAAGTACATGAATTCCAGCCCGCTCTGTTTGTTGCTCATTTGAATGTCCTACATAATTGTGAAATAGATGAAGAATACAGACATAAATACATACTTTACACAGGTTCTATATAACATATACATACACTTGTAAAAACTGTATGAGCAGAAACGCAGTTACTACACAGTCCAAGCTGCATTTAATGGCCCAGCAAGGCAATTTGCAGAGCTTTACCACGTTCCCATGGCGCTTGTTTTAAGGAGGCTGGGGAAGAAACACAGCCCAGTTTGCTCAGACAGACTTGGCCATGGGAGCCCGTGTCTGTCCATGGGGATGAGTCAGCTTTCCTTTTGATCTCTGGAGACCTGGTAGCTCCAGGACTGTTGAGTAGGATAGGTACAGGTGACATGTCTGTCTGGGGAAGGGTTCGTTGTCTGGTACAGTGCCTGTCCCTTTCCTCTTTTCTTCCCTCCTCTCATCTGTTGTCTTTTCTTTTTCACACCCCCCCTTGTTTATATGATGGCCTTGACCTCCATATGCATCTAAAGACGGCCTTGAACTCTTGTTCCTTCTGCTTTAGCACTTAGGAGAGTGCTGGAATTATAGCTGTATGCCACTATTTTCCACAGTTTTTTTTTTTTTCTTAAGGCTTTAGTTCCATGATATGGGATTGGCCAGTGGCTTTTAAGCTTTCTTTCTTTTGGGGATTGGGGAGAGACTCTAGAACCTTCTCTGGATGTCTCTTACCAGTTGCTATGAGATCTGAGTTCTTTGTAGCCCCTGAACTGTCGCACGCTGCTTTGGAGTTATCCCCTCCACTACAGAAATGTCAACATCCCTGGGAGGATCAAGGGATCTCTTGATCAGGTTTGCATACTTATAAATGTCTCTTTGCTCCAATAACAAGGGAATGAGGTTTCTTAAAACTTATGTTTTCTCTCTCACACCTTAACTGGTCTGTTGAGCAAGGAGTATATGTCAGAGTCTTAGAACCCTAAAACTTACCTGTGGGACTCAGCCAGAATTCAGAGGTCACTTTACCTGACTGGAAATGTCTTTTTGACTTCCCCTACTCCTCAACTTAATTTTTTAAGGTCCTGTTTATCTAAAGAAGTGCAGACAGCACTTTTACTTTTTTTTTCTGGTCCCTCTCTGTAGTCAGATGCCCTGGATGCAGCTGGAGGGTGCTTCTCTGTACATATCTCAGGCTAATTTCATCCTGGCCTACCAGTTCCGCCCAGATGGTGCCAGCTTGAACCGTCGGCCCTTCAGAGTCTTCGCTGGGCATGATGAGGATGTTTGTCACTTTGTGCTGGCAAACTCACATATTGTCAGTGCAGGAGGGTAAGTGCTGGGTCTTCTTGTGTCTGCCTCTGACTTTTGTGGCTCAACAGCAAAGGGATAAGGAAGGAAACTTTTTTTTTAAGTTAAAAAAAACAAAAAACAAAACACTTAAAGCAGAGATTTACCAAAAGCTGTTAATAGGGTTAGCTAGAGAAGAAATCAGGAAGAGCCTTTACTGCAAAGTGGATCAGGTTTGATACTCTCCAGGGAGAGGTTGATTTCCTCTCTCAGCTCTGTTTAGCTCCAAGTGTGCTGAAGGAGTGAAAGTATATAACACTCAGCACCTTGTGGGCCACACTGCAGAATGCTTGGTACATCTGGACGTCACTGGACACTTGGGCTGCTTCAGTGAACTGGTCCTCTTGCTATAGAGAGTAATTAACTCCTGGGGGGGGTGCTCTTGTTCTCTTGTAGAGACGGGAAGATTGGTGTTCATAAGCTCCACAGCACCTTCACTGTCAAGTACTCAGCTCATGAACAGGAGGTGAACTGTGTGGACTGCAAAGGGGGTATCATTGTGAGTGGCTCCAGGGACAGGACAGCCAAGGTGAGGAGTTCTCCCCCTACATACTGTACTGTTATTTCCTCCTGTCCATAGGGGCTGGGGTGGGAGAGGGTGGATAGAACTTTGAGTCCCAGGATTGGCTGAGAGCATTGGGTGAGGCAGGGGAGAAGTGACGCAATGAAGAACTTACTTATGTGCCTTTGGCATGCAGCTTTCTATGCCAGGCTGTGTTCCTGCCAGCTGGACTGGGAGAGGAGTGGACAGTGGCTGGGATGCTCACCGCTCACTTGAAATGTGGTGTGAATGCAAAAACAGAGGGCCTGGTCAGCTTTTCTCCCTGAGCCGAGTTTCCTCAAGTTTGTGGGTTGACTTCTAACCCCAGTATTTTATTTTAAAATCTCCCTCGTTTTGCTTGCTCTCTGTTTAGAGAAGTTAATTTTTCACCACCTTGTTCATAAGCAATCAGGCTGATAATTAAAACGTGTTTTTACTGATTCTCTGGAGAGTGGTGTGGTCAGTAGGCAGTGGAGGCGACAGGAAGGCTGTTGTTGGTTGCATCACTGCCAGATTGCCTGGTCCGCAGACATCCACCAAGACATAAACAATGGAACTGATAAAGAGTTGTCATCCTTGCTTTGGGGATCCCACTCTTCCAGTCTGTGTCTAGCACTGCTGCTTATAGGACACAGAAAATTCTCTAGGCTTAGCTGGAGCAGCCCGAGATGGGATACAGGCTTTGGGGATTCAGTGGGAACTCTGCTGACAGTTCACTTGGTGATGCAGAAGACCCCAGAGGTCCTGATTATCTGTTTTCCAGAATCTAGAGGCTCCATTGTAGCAAAATGCTTATTGAAATCAGCAAATGGGCCTCTAAGCCACATGGAGAGAGATGGCAGGAGAGGGAAGTTGCAGCTTTTATTCATAACTCTTCTGACTCCGTGTACTCTCTAGTGATTGCTTTTTCATGTTGCTGATTCATTTAAAGACAGGGGCTAAATAGGTTACCTCCTATTTGTGAACATTTCTTTTCCTTTTGAAATTTTCCGCCTTATATTTTGTATTTAGAGAGAATGCATGCCAGCATAGGAACTCTGAGAAAGATCAGCAGTTTGTCTTTGCTTTTATTCTTTGAGACAGGGGGTCATGTAGCCAAAGATGATCCTTGTGTCTGAGTCATGTAGCCAAAGATGATCCATTTTCAAGTGCTGAGATTATAGGCATATGCTGCCATACTTAGGGGTTTTTTTGGGGTGAGCAGGTTGGGATAGGCTTTTTCTGCATAGCCCTGGCTGTCCTGGAACTCACTCTGTGCACAAGGCTGGCACAGAGATCCAAGTGCTGGGATTAATGGCGTGTACCACACCCCCGGCTGTATCAAATATTTTGAACCTTCATGGAAACCACATTTCCTCCTCGTCCCCACCTCATATTTACTTCAGGTTTTTGCTTAGTCAGTGGCTCTGTAGCATTCCTTGCAAAGATTCTGGCTTTAACTTGCCAAGCTGCTCAGAAGTAAATCTGGGGCTAGAGATGTGGCTCAGTCAAGTGCTTACTAGCCACACATGAAGATCTGGGTGTAGGTAGTCAAGACTTACATCTGGGGACAGTGGGGAGGCACAGACAGGTGAATCCCTAGAGCTTTAAAAAATAACATTTGTTCTTTGTTAATTTAATATATTTGCAATGTATTATGGTTACCCCCATCTTCTTTACAAATGTCTTCTTTTTCCTTTTCTAAAGATTTATTTATTTTTATATATGAGTGCAATGTCTTCCTATACATCTGTATGACAGAAGATGGCATCAGATCCCATATAATGGTTGTGAGCCACCATGTGGGTCCTGGGAATTGAACTAAGGACCTCTGGAAGAGCAGTCAGTGTTCTTAACCACTGAGCCATCTCTCCAGCCCCCTTACAAATATCTTAACTATATTTAGTAGCTTTTGTTTTTATTCGTGTGCTACAGAGTTTAACTAGAGCTATCTCTATAAGCAGGTATATAACAGGGTTCTGTGCCTCTTCCTCTTCCAGAATCTGTCAGTTGTCAATAGATGCAGCACTAAATGCCCATAAACCACTTTTCTTCATAGCTGACTGTGAGGGGGGCTTAGTGTCAGTAGCCACAGTTACTGTGAGCTCATGACTGTCATGACATGTTGTGCTTAGAAGATAGCATTTTGAAGACTGTGCTCCCTAAGTCTGAGGCTGTAATCAGCATCTGTGAAGCCATGGGTCCTTGTGTTCACTTCTGTTCACTGCAAGGGAAGACTTCTCTTTTGACAGCTGAGAATAGCCTTTGTCTGTGTGTATAAGAAGGAATTCTCAAGGTGGTTTGGTGCTGTGTTGATTCAGCTAAGCGGTAGCTTAGGTTCTTCTCTAAAATGTCAGATCCATCTTTCTTTCTCTTTTGAGATAGTGTCTGGCTATGTGGCACAGACTAACCTTGAACTTGCCATTTTACTGCCTCTTGAGAGTATAGGTATATGCCACCACATGCCTGCTGGAATTATTTTTTAACAATGAAGACTGTAACCAGGCACTGTGCTAAGCACCTCATTAATTTATCTACCCTTGCATAATTGTAATGTGTTTTAGATATACAGTATACCATGTGGTATCTACTCTATACAAGTATATATATATGTATATATATTTGAGATAGCTGTCCTTGAAATTTCTATGTAGCCAAGTATGACCTTAAACTTCTGATCTTGCCTGTGCCTGTTGAATGCTGGGATTCCATGTACCACACCCAGTCTGTGTAGTGCTAGAGATCAAACCCAGCACTTTGTGCATGCTAGGCAAACAGTCTATCAATAGAACTATATCTCCAGCCCTCATGGTATCTTCAGTGGCTTCCAAATGAGCCTACCATTATTTACTTAAAATCCTCTTTGTAGGTGAATGATTCTGTCTACTTTCTTTCTGGGTACAAGAACCTGGACATAAGAACTCTTTCTGAAGGGTCTGACTCCTGCTAATTCTGTACACCATGCTGTGCTAGTACTCTACTTTTTTCCCTTTTCTATAGCACACTCCTGAGACAGGCATTTTCCCCCATTTGATGAGATGAAACTGAGACCAAGAAGTTAGGAAACATCTCTAAGAGCTAAGATAATAAGTCACTGGAAGGGTTCAAACCTGGTCAGACTCCAAAGACTATATGCTTGTCCTGTAATAATAGGTTACAGCAAATAATTTGTTTACCATTTTGGTTTTTCTTTGTTTTAGGGTTTTTTTTGTTTTTTTTTTGTTTTTTTTTGGATGAATTCTCAGCCTTAGAGTTCCTGAGTCAGAGATCATTGTAGGAGCCTTGCCACCTACAGTCTGCCTTCTAAAAGGACTGTATAAATGTGTACTTCCACTAAATATCCTCCAGGGTGGGTCTCACCAGATCTCTATAGTGTCAAATCCTGTCTCTCAGGTGCCAGTATAGTCTTGTTGCCAGAGGATGCTGTGCTGTGGGACAGGCTGGCCACTTTCCTGAATGATGCTTGGAATTGACAATGCATTTCCTGAGTCATTCCCACAGATCTGTAGCCTTGTCCTATGGTTTGTGGGCTCTCAGATTCTACCAGCTGTCTCTGTGGAAGCTAGTACTAAACTCAGGTTTAGTCTGTCCCCAGAGATTTTTGTAAATCAGGAGTCCCCACTTCACCCTGCAAGCAAGCACCTGCCTCCGAGGGGGTTCAGATAAGAAAAAGGCGAACGTCTCTTCCAAGCTGGGCAGTCTAAAGGAAGAGACCAGAAGGGCATCTAGTTATTACCAAAGGCTTTGACTGTCGAGTACAAAACCGATGCCAGAATACCAGTCTTAACAGAGAATATTGAGGGTTTGCCTTTGTTGTGTTTTGTGTCCCCTCCTCATCAGGAATATTCTTGTTAAATTTCTTTTCTTAGTTTTGGGAAAAGTTGCTCCTCCTATCATCCCATCCCCCACTCTATCATACCCAGAAACTCTGAGAAACACTTTCTCCTTTTATAGGGAAGAGATACCATGTGACCCTAAGAAGGCAAGACCACCCCCATTCCATCACCTGCCCCTTATACCGAAGGAATGTTTTCTTAAGTTTTTCCATCTAAGGCCCTGCCTGAGTTTGGTGTGTTCCCCTTATAGCTCTGCAGGGACCTTGAGAGGTCATTGATCCATCTAGCTGCCATGGGATCCCTCTGTGGCTGCTCTGGGGGGAGCCCTGTACATTTGAGGTTTCCTTTCTGTTTGGTTAGAGGCTTATGTCCCTGCATGTGTCATCTGGGGTAGGGCGAGGTGAGGGGAGCCTTGTGCTTAATGGGAGATTCTAAATGCTCGGACTGCTGAGAGGCTCTGGGAGTGTTGATTAGAGTTAAGCCCCGAGTGGCTGCTAATGTACATTCCTGACTGATAGGGACCAGATAGTGTGCTCCAAGCAATATTTTTAACCTGTGGAGATATGGAAGCTTAAAGGAGTTAAGCTTTTCTGCTACTTTTGGTGACACTAGGTGCTAAATTCCCTGCTGACATGAATAGCTTTGGGTCCTGGGCATTATGAACAAACAAACAACAACACACCACCTTCTCACTTTGAAGTCTCTTTTCCATTCTTTCCTTGTTTTGCAGCTTTCTTTTTACTTTGCTGATAGTATACATGTCTCCCCAGACTGTGCCTTGATCTTTCTGTCTCTCCCTCTGTGCCTAAAGTAAAGCTTTGGTGAAAGATAGGAGAAAGGAAGATCACAAACACAAGGAAGTTTCTGAGAGAGACAGGTTACTGCCATCTGCCCTTTCTTAGTTAGATCTCACACAGGCTATGTGGAACTTCTTGTTGTCTGGTAGAAAGTTGACTAGCAATGAAGGCTCTCAGGTGGAAGAGAAGGTGGGTGGTTAGGGCTGCCAGTGGCAGGTGAACTAGAAGCTGGAGCGGCTTCTCTGCTAATGCCCTGAGTTCTGTCTTCAGGACAGAAAGGGTTCCCCATCCCTCACCCCCCAATCACACTCATTCCGCCTGGTGTGTGTTTCTTCCTCCTGATCACAGGCAGTGCCAACAAAAGCATTTCCTCTCCTGTTTTCAGGTATGGCCTTTGGCCTCGGGCCGACTGGGGCAGTGCTTACACACCATCCAGACTGAAGACCGAGTCTGGTCCATTGCCATCAGCCCGATACTCAGGTAAGGGAGACATGTTTGGGTTTTTGTCTAACACAAGAATGTGTTCATTTTATTAGGTCAGATAAGCTAGAGAAATCTTCACTAGTATACTCTAGGTTGCTATGAACCACTCTCCTGGAGATTTAAAATTCCCTAGACTTGAGGGCTTTAGGTCTTTTCACGTACTTGTGGAACTGAGATAACCTTTCCTAAGCATCTGATGAGAAATGGTAAGGCAAAGATACCACCCTGGAATGTAACTGAGGGGTCAGGGCTCCCTTTTGGGAGCAGATGTCCTTGGGATTGCTCCAAAGCAAAGGCTTCTCAGTGTACCTGAGATCTAACAGCAGCAGCTAGCCTGCTGTCAGGCCTCCTCTCTGCTTTGTTCCCTGACAATGTCTTTTGGAGTATCCCTTACAGACTCTAGGTATCAGGAGAGGAGGAGAGGTTTGGGGCTTCCCACCTGGGCCCTCATCTATATATGTAAAGGAACAGAAACAGTGATAATTGTAGTGGAAGTGCAACTCTGTTTTATTATTTGATGTATGTGGTAGTTTGGCCTGTCCACCACTTGTGTGTCTGGTGCCCATGGAGACCAGAAGAGGGTGTTGCATCTGGGATTGCAGTTACAGATCATTGTGAGCCACCATGTGGGTGCTGGGAATCAAACCCAGGTCCTCCGGAAGAGCAGCCAGAGCTCTTAACTGCTGAGCCATCTCTCCATCCGAAGCTCTTAAAAACAAAAACAAACAAAGCAAAACCAAAAAAACACTAAATCTTGCTGTATAGCTGAGGCTAGTTTAGAACTCACTACATAGCTCAGACTGATCTTCCTGCCACAGCATTTCTCAATGGCTGGGATTACAAGTGCAAGACACTAAATGCAGCTGTTTCTTCAGCTTTCACTAGCCAGGTGTATTGGTTTATACCAATAATCCCAGCGTTGAGGGAGACAAGGCAGGAATGCCACCCCATGAGCTTGAGGCCACCTTGGGCTATAAGGGGAGTGCCAGACCAGCCTAGGCCACTGACTGAGACCCCGTCTCAAAAACAAAATAAAAAACTAAAACTGGAGATATGAACAAGTGAGCTTTACATCCCCGACTTCTGTTTTTTAGTTATTATTATTATTAAAAACATTTTATTGACTTATGTTCATTATACATAATATTGAGTTTCATGTAGAAAATTTCTTTTAGATATATCATGTGCTTTTGTCCAGGCTTTTTAGAAAATCTTTTATTGCTTTGTATGTTTTGCTTGTGTGTATCTCTGTGTATCAATCACATACATGCAGTACCCCCAGAGAGGCCAGAAGAGGGCGTTGGATCCCCTGGGACTGGAGTTACAGATGCCTGTGAGCCACCATGTCGTGCTGGGGATCAAACCCAGGTCCTCCAGAAGAGCAGTTGGGGTCTTAGCTGATGAGCCATTGTGCTAGCACCTATCTAGACTATCTATGAACCAAGGCTGGGCCTCGCTCCTCCCCAGTGGGGTTTAGACACTTTCCTATACTTGAACTATAATAGAAGTTAGTAAAGTCTGTGTGTATTTCCTTGATGCTCTCATCCCACCTGAATGGACTTGGGAAAGCTGCAGGGCTGCCCACTTCTACCACCTGATTAAGTCAATCACTTGTTTTTATAAGCAAGTTGGTGCCCTTTTGCTCAGCTCCCTTCGGCCTCTCTCTCCTCACCCCATGGAGCCTGTGCCCCTCCTCTTGCTCTCTTCCACAACTCCCTTCAGTTTTTTCCTTCCTAAGAATCAGAGCCGATTAGCCACGTCATTAATTCTTCAATTTGACGGCTGATATAGCAGGACCTGAAACACATTGCTGACCCCAGAGAATGGAGACCCCATTCCTTAGCATATTGACGATGGGAGAAGTTAATTAAAATTCCACAGAGCAGAGGTGTCGGCTAACCTATAAACCTGTCGCTTTTCAGAACAAATCATTCCAGCATCTTAGGAGAGAGGACAGGGAAGACCAGCGGGGGGAGTGGGGGCTCTGGGTGGAAGAATGGAGCTGGCCAGCCTTGCTTCCTCTGCATCTTCTTCTTCTTCTTCTTCTTCTTCTTCTTCTTCTTCTTCTTGATTTTATTTATTATGTATACAACATTCTGCTTCCATGTATGTCTGCACACCAGAAGAGGGCACCAGATCTCATAACGGATGGTTGTGAGCCACCATGTGGTTGCTGGGAATTGAACTCAGGACCTCTGGAAGAGCAGTCGGCGCTTTTAACCTCTGAGCCATCTCTCTAGTCCATGCAGTTTCTTCTTAATGCACACTTCTGAAAGCTTATTAGCCAGGCTTCTGTGTCTGTGGGTGGTTGTGTGGGTACTAAAGGAAGGCAAGTGGAGGTGACAGGTGTGCCAGTGACTTTGTCTTAGCGATTGCTTGTGGCTTTGGCTGGCTTCAGGAGGCTGGGAGAGGCTTGTTGGTAGAAGGGACTCTGGCTAGAGATGTCCATGTGTTTACTACATGTTTACTGAGGCCAAAGAGTATGGATGGGCTCCCCCCCTACACTGCTACCCCCCTACACCCCAACCTTATAGTCATCTACTCTAACTGCATCATCTAGAGAGTGTTGGGTTACTTCTCCACAGCAACCAAAAAGACCACATAACGCCTATTGCAGATGGCGTCAGTAAGAGAAGTTGAGGATAGAATTTACCTTCCTCATTAAGAAGCATTTGAGATCATAGTAAATTGAGTTTGAGTTTTTTGGACATAACTTGGAGACTGACCATGGGCAAGCACATGACTTTGTAATGTTAGTATTACTGTGGAATGAACACCACCCTTCTAGCTGGTAGTCACTGTTAGCTGGCTGTTCTCGCTATGCAAACCCTCTGCTAAAGTCCCTTTTGGGTCCCTTTCTGGTTGTTTTTTTTTTTTTTTTTTTCACATTCTTCTTCAGTTTTCTTGGTGTACTTTCTTACATGATTCCTTTGTCCATCATTGGCTGGCTGTTTAGTGTTGACTGTGAAGTTATTTGATATGGCTTTTTTCTTAATTTTACAGATGATGTCTTGAACTCTGTTTATGTTTGTTATGTTTTTTGAGACAAGGTCTTGCTATGTAGCCCTGTCTGGCCTGGAGCTCATAGAGCTCTGCCTATATGTGCCTCCCCAGGTCTGGGTTAAAGACATGTACCACCATGCCTGGCAGATATATGCATGTATATTTCATTTATTTATTTTTGTGAGTGCATCAGTGTATGCGTGCATGTGTATGCGCTCCAGTGTATTTGGTACATATGTGGAAAACAGAGGACAACTTTAGTAATTATTTCTGACCTTCCACCATGTAGGTCCCAGGGATAGAACTCAGGTTGGACTCTCTTAAAAACTTGTGTTGGGGATTCTGACTTTATACTAGACATCCAGAACATATGCTGGGGTTTTATTGTATTCAAAGAAAATACTGGGCTGTCCTGGAACTCCCTTTGTAGACCAGGCTGGCCTCAAACTCACTGAGATCCACCTGCCTCTGCCTCCAAGTGAAGGGACTAAAGGTGTGAGCCTCCACCACCTTTATTCCCAACACTCTGGAGGCAGAGGCAGGTGCATTTCTGTGAATTCTAGGCCAGCCAGCACTCAAAGCAAACAACTCATCTATCCTTTTAACCCGGAGAAGCACTGACTTTGAGCTTCAAGGTCTGGTCTTTAGAGAGTCGGGTCTCCTTTGCCTGCTGCTAGCGGGTGCTGTAGGCAAATCATTCCCCCTTTCTGTACTGTCTTTACAGACATGACTAGATTACAGTGAAAAATGACCAGAAAGAGTATATATAAGCTGGGCTGTAGTGGCGAACACCTTTAATCCCAGCACTTGGGAGGCAGAGGCAGGCAGATCTTTGTGAGTTCAAGGCCAGCCTGATCTATAAAGCAAGTTCTGGGACAGCCAGAGATGTTACATAGAGAAACTGTGTTTAGAAAAAGAAAAGATGGTATAAAGACTAAAGTCCTGTAATAGTATGCCATCTTATCTAATGCAGCATTTGCTTAGTACTTAGTTGCTTTCAAGCCTATTTCTTAGGCTTCTCTAGGCTTCTGCCTCCCTGGACTCACACTGCTCTTTTGTAGTCTTCCTGAGGTAGAGTCTCCACGGGAATCTCTCTTCCTTTTGCTTGTTCTTTTGAAGTGATCCTCAATGGCTGCCTTCTGTCACCTCCCTGCTACTATTCCTGTTGAATGTGTTTGTCAATCACAGGATGACATGGCCCTGTACCCCTTAGGAACAGCATTAAGGGCTGTGAGTAGCCGCAGTTCTCTAAGGACAAGTATTCCAGTTTCCCTTGCTGCTTCCTTGAAAAGTTGGAAGGACTCTGGACAGCAAAGAGACCTTACACTGGTCTATTCTCAATCACTGTCTTCTTCCTGCTAAAACAATTAGTCCTGCGCACTTGATTGTCGATGTTCTTTGATTTTTCCCTCTTTTTTTCACATATTTGTACTCAGGCACTTTCAGTATGAATATGGACCTCAAATTCCAGGCTTAGCATGAGGTACTTTTGACTAAGAGAAAGCAGGAATTCTGACCTGTGTCTAGGTATCACCTTTCCTTCTTTCTGTGACTTTGAATTTTTAAACTGTAAACAGTGGTAGAGAGTGATATTTAATACCAGTTGTGTACTCAAATTTATGCTTATCTATGTATGTATGTATGTATGTATGTATGTATGTATGTATGTATTTTGGAGATTCAGTTTCTCTGTGTAGCCCTGGGTGTCCTGGAACTCTCTCTGTAGACCAGGATGACCTTGAACTCAGAGATCTGCCTGCCTCTGCCTCTGGAGTGCTGGGTTTAAAGGAGTGTGCCACCACCCAGCTCAAAGCTATGCTTACTCAAAAAAAAAAAAATACTAAAAGAAATAGTAGGTGTCAAAGGATGGTGGCAGGCAAGGATGTCTTCCTTTGATTCCCACCCACCTTTCTTATCCTGTTGTCAAGATTCAAGTCTTATGGACTGAGGCCCTGCTGCATAGAGGAGGTAAAGAAGGCACACACTGTTGCTAG